AATTCTTCGCATCGCCAAACTGAGAGACACTTGTCGCACCTGCGCCGGTTTGCCGCGTTACGTTGTGCACGTGCGTAATCGACAATTTACGAAATTCGGCTGGTGTACCGCGGAAGCGTACATTTTTCTGGAATTTTCTCAATAACGCTCCTCTTCTCCGTCGTCGTTTTTCTAATCACTTCATCTTATTGCTTAATCTATATTACTGTATCACTCCGCTCTCTTCATTTTATCATCGAAGGGAAAGGCGCGCTCGCTGATAATGATTTCTATTGGACCGACCTGAATAAGAACAAAAGAAAAAAAAAAACAGAAAGACTTCGAGGAATGAGAAGCTCTAGGTGCTCTCTCGATGCGTTTTCCCTGCTTCTTAGTTTCGCCAGGATGATATCTAGGATACTTGGGAAATAGAGTATAAATTGTAATTACGAATCGTTTGCGCGTCGGTAGGTCGAGGCGCGCAGGAATACGATGAGAGTACAAGCCAAAATCTCACGAGCGCGAGTCACCACGCGGAAACGCGGAGATACTCGATATCCATTCTCTCTCTCTCTCTTTCTCTCTCTCCGCCCCTTCCGTCTCTCCCTCTTCTCTCGGTATGACCGAGCAGATATCGAGCCTTGGCACGAACAAAAGGCGATACACACGTCGCGCACGCGTTCGCCTTGAATAATAAAATTCGTGGCAAAAGAGATCTAGCCGGACGTGACTCACGCGTATGTTTGCGCGTGTTTTTTCTTCCGCACAAAAAGCGCGCACTTCCGATGAATTCCATTTGTTCTTAACGTTCGCACGCGGATAACGCAATCCGAGAAAAACGATATCGATTTTTCCGTTTGAATCTAAATCGAGAGACGCAAGACGGTCCTCCCTCTTCCCTTCCTCTCACCTGCTCTTTTCACGCTTCTCTCGACTTCCCTCCCCCTCGTCGTGCGCTTCGTAATTCGGTTCTTATTATTACTGTTACAACGAAATGCATACTCGGTGACTACAAGTATACGGCATTTCATTCGGAATGTAGGAGGCGGTATAAGAAAACGCAGAGAGAGAGAGAGAGAGACGAGCAGGTCTCGTTATTCATTTACCTCGAGACTTAATTCGCCCGGACCCTTTAATTCGCGATGTTAAGTGTCCTCATGAGAGGAATAATGCGCCATCATCGCGCAAACTCCCCGCGAAAGTAATAACGCACGGTGGTAAATGCGGGGAAAATGCAGGCTGAATACATCGCGAGACACAAGGGCCGCGGCGAAGGGCGTCTACGACGTGCCTCTCGGCGAGCGACGTCTCTCACTTTATTATTCTGCCCATTTTGAAAGAAAGAACTCACGAGAGCGCGCAACGTAAAATCCAGTCCCGCTTGATTGTAATATTTGTCTAAGTTGTTCTACAAAAGAGACGGATATCAAGTTGCGCATCGCGTCGGGTAACGATGACGCGCGGTAACAAGCGCGTATGAAAATTTCGTCGCGAAAGTGTTCGGCTCTTGATAGCCGCCGTTAATTTCTAAACCGAAGCTCACGTCGCTTGCTGGGACTCGGCTGCAATTTTACGTAATGCATGCAAAGTTTACACGGTAAACACAGACGTTTATCCGTCTCGTCGAGCTATAAATTGACCGATAAATTTCACGAAGCGATAAAGTACGTGAGACTCCTTATTTATATAATTATATTTGCGTTAATTTAAATTAACCCGTGTGCGTGGTATGTGTGTGTGTGTGTGTGTGTATACTACAAGGAATAAAAAGAAACAGGAGACTCCTCTTAATTAAACGCATTCACTTTGGTTTAAAGGTTAAACGCGCACAACATCCCTCCCTCCCCTTCTGTCGCACGCTACGCTCTTTTATCGTAGCATGCAGTGCATACAATCGGGTGCGTTGATGCGCACGATGCAACAACAAGGGTATAACCGAGGATACACGAAACAGCCATGAAACGATCCTCCCGTTTCGCGACTTTCCGCAGCTTGCTTAAATTTCGCGGAGATAAAAAGCGAGACACGGGCCGACTATTGTAATACTATTTAATACAACGCGGTGCATGACTAATAAATCCCGTTATTATCGTCCCGGCTCATTGGCGTTCGAAGAACAGAGCGCGCGCGCGCAAGTTACGAGCAAATATTTGCGTTGCCGTAAGTTCCACGATTCGCATCACGGATCGCGCGCTATATCTTCGCGGGATTTTAGGAGCCGAGGAGATCCTGATAGACGAAGGATCTCGAAAGTGACGCGAGAGTTCGGCACAGCCGGTACAGATAGGTCTCGTTTATCCCAGACCGCGTTTCGCTATCGGATTTTATCATCTCTCACGTAACGTGTTACCACAGAAATATTGCTGAGGTAAACACGGCGAATAAATAATTATAAATACAGCCGGTGCGGGATAAAACGCGAGGGAGGGGGCATAATTCCTGCTGGAATTAGATTGTGACGCGCGGGAAAATTCCCGAGCGCGGTTACACGCGCGGAATGCATATACCGCGACGGTTTCGACAAAACATTAATTAGACATTTAGATTCGCGAGAGAACACGGAGACGACGCAAATGCGTAACGCGCGACCGCCATTACGGGATCCCCGTTCTCCGAGATGGACCTGAAAGTCTTATGAAAGATTTAGCTTGACGCTTTAATTACATCCAGATATTTAAACGCGAAGAAGTAAAGCCTCTATAATTTCTGAATATTACAGCGAGGTGTCGTCGACACCGAGCACGTGAGCGCGATGAGAGAAACGTTGATGCGCGAGCGAGCATCGTTATCTGCAACGGATCTGCAGTCCCCGTAATCAGCCGGGGCCGTCGGTGCTACGTGGAAATATTAATTTCTGAAAGTATGATAATGGAGTGAAATCCGGCGGCTGACTTTCCTTTTGCCGTCGCGTCGTTCCGCGCGATTCCGCGAATAAAATGAGAAAGAAAGAAGAAAATAATACGTGAGGATAGATCGATCGATCGCGATCTAACTGCGAATGTATAAAAAAAAAACTCACGAAAATAATCCTAGCTTCGTTTCAATTTTACCTTGTCCCGCGTATTTTAAACACGGCACCGAGCGGATAAATTGAAATTAATTCAAAACTAACGTGTCATCTCTCCGGTAATTTAATAACTTTTTCTCGCGCTATCGAGACTCATCGATCACGTCTCGACGCACGTCTCACAAAGAGGCACGTGCTGTTTTCTCATCGTCCTTTCTTTTTTTGTCAGGAATATCGCAAACTCATTTAACGCATATCTATCGTTTTTTCACCGTTCCAAGAACGAATTCCGCTTGTAAGTTGAATCTTACAGGACTGAAACGCAAGATGACGGGGAAATAATCAATGACGTTCCTTTTCAGACAACACGTGTTTTAAATGATTTTGCAAGTAAGCGCTCTCGCTTTGTATACACAAAAACGAGCGAGCGAGCGAGCAAGTGAGAGAGAGAGAGAGAGAGAGAGAGAGAGAGAGAGAGAGNGAGAGAGAGAGAGAGAGAGAGAGAGAGAGAGAGAGAGAGAGAGAGAGAGAGATGCCGCCGACAAGCGTACATATATTTTCATTTTCCACGAAATTCCGGTTTATCGCCGCGGAGAGAATGCACTCTTTAATTAGAGATAACAACGAGGGCGAAAGCGTCGGCGGATCGAAATTCAAAATCGCGCTTATTCATTCGCGTTTACAGCGGTGAATGTGATACGTCAGCGTGAGTCAACGAAGAAGGTACACACGTCTTGCGTTCGTTCGGCAGCGCTAAATATGAGCCTGTACGATGATAACAATGAGCGCCGAGTTGCATGTTGGGAAAAAATAAGGATTCGAAATCTCTTTTGATCACACGCGCTGTGAACGTATGCGTGCGCGCGTGTATGCGCGATGACACGCGCGAATACACCTCGGAAAGACGACAGCGCACAGTGTTGGTGTGGAAGGGCGGCAGCAGGGGGAGGGGGGATGTAATGACAGCTGCTGCAGCATGGAGCGTAGGCCGTGTTTCGTTACGAAACGGAGCGCACGCTAAAGACACCAAGGTCCGCTCGCTCGCTCTGCGTTTAGCGTCGCGTTTAAGCGCTAAATGGAGCCGCTCGATTCAGAGTTTTATTCGTCTAATGGGGATCAATGTCAACGCGCGAACGAGTACGGAAAATCTCGTTAAAATAGCGCGTCCTCCTTCGTGAGAGGACAGTCAGTCTTCAATAACGCGTCAACGGCGCGTTATCAGCTGTCAAAACATTCCTCGCACAACAAACAATAAATAGACGAGGGAAACGACCGCTGCGGTGGGTTAGGACACCACCGACGTCTCGCGGTTTGGCGACAGGAAGTGAAGCACAAATTATTTTCGTACTTTGCCCCCCCCCCATCTCTCTCCCTCTCTCATTTCCGAGCCACAGAGTGACATTGGCCGTTCTACTTTGGACACATTGAACGAGTAGACACTGCGGGAGAGGGTTTNTTGGGGGGGGGGGGAGAGGAGGGGGATATTTTCTGTGTTTCGAAACACGGTTCGCATGCGGTATCGCTTCGAAAAGTTTCACCGCGCGAATTCACGGATCGAGAAGGTTCGTAACTCGTACGTTCACAAACGCACGATGCATCTCGCACTTTTCCCGACGACGTCGCGGCGCAAAAAGCTCGCGGGACGCGACGGGAGAAGGAGAACGAGGAGGCGGATACCGAGGAAATGTAAAAGTAGGAAGCAGGAAGAGAAAGAGGATGCTGTGGGAGAAAAGTTAAAAGGCAAAGGGAGTCGAATCGAGGCGAGAAGGAAAGGAAGGAAGAAAGAAAGAGGATTTTCCACTCCGTTCGCGGGAGGACAACCCAGGACGCGCGAGGGAAAAAGGAGGAGAGCGCCAGAGGGTGCGGTAGACATGTTAGACGAGCCGATGACAAGAGCGCGAGCGTGCGTGCGAAAGAGAGAGAATGCGCGCGAGAGAGAGAGAGAGAGAAAGATCGACACATCACAGATAGATAAATAAAATTAAAAAAAAAAAAGGAGGGGAGACAGACTCACCTTGTCCGAGGGTATACGCGGATTCATCGTAACTGGCGGCCAGGAGACGTCGCGTCGTGACGAGTAATCCAGAGACGATGGGCTCCCGACGACGACGTCGGGCGTCTCGACGTCCGCCGACGACGACGACGGCACACTTGTCGGGACGAGGACGACAGAGCGACGACGAGTGGACGGGAGATGTACCTGCTGCTGCGCGATCAGGTGCACTTTACTCCCGACGACGGTGACGGCGACGTCGGCGGCGACGACGACGACGACGGCGATGGCGGCGATAACGAAAACACACTCTTTCTTTCACACTCACAGGGGTCCGCCTCGCTTGCGCACACTACACCATTTCGATAGGCCGCCGTCGTGTGGCCCTCCTCGCACCACGACCGACACCCCGCCGTACGAGCCGCCGCTGCCGCCGTTACTTGTACGCGTCCGGACCGGGGTGTTCGGGCGACATGCTGAGAGCTGAAACCCGAAAGCGAGCAGCCACCGGCCAAACGGGACGCGCGCTCGCTCGCTTTCTCTCTCTCTCTCTCTTTCGCTTCTCTAAACTTGTCGAGACAAGTTTGGACGCGACGCGACGAACCGCACTACACCGCACCGCACGCACGTACGTACGCACGCACGCACGCAACCACCGTACTGTGACAGTGCCAAACACATAAAATGGCGATTTCGCGTAGGGTAGATAGATAGAGCCTTCCGGGCGAACGAGCGTCACAGAGGTTACACGATCGACTAGACGGCGCACTCGGCTGGATTGAGCGCGCGACCGCAGCGCCGCGGCCGACACACATAATCGATCCTCCCTATGCGATCGATTATCGATGATCCCTATCTCGTAAGATGGTGAAAGAGAGTGTTCCACACGTGTTTGGTACACGTTTCGTGCTTTTGGGTCCTTTCAAATAGAATCTACAATATTTCACATTGTTATCATATCGTGAGTGTCTGTGATTACCTTGGGTTATTTGTGATTACACCATGGACGCTTATGATCTATTCAAAAAACTTGCGGCCGGTGCGAAATTCGATAAGAACCGTTTCCGACGCGACGCGGAGAAATTTCAGGTAACTGTTGTGTCCATTCTTCGAAGTTAATTTTAATGCATACACAATGATATTTTACTATTTTTTATGCTTAGATGGTAAAACCTACCGTGAATAATGTAATTATAAAGAAAGAAAAGACAGATGATGAAGTGTCGAAAGTCAACGAAGAAGGTAACGCGAAGAGAAAACGTTTTGAAGATGAGATCGAAGACACTGATAGGTTAACTTTGTTGAATGGGCTATCAGTGCCGAAAGATGGAAGTACACCAGCTTTTAAAAAACGTAAAAAAATTGTAACCACCGACAAGATGCTCAAGTTGGAGCAGGAGAAGGTTTGAAATTCGCATAACCACATCTAATTCAACTATCATAAGGTACTTACAGTATTTTTCATTCTTTTTTTTTTCAGATAAATCATCTGAGAAATCTGAATCGCATCTCAGTCACGGGTAGCCATGTGCCTAAATTAATAATAGACTTTGAGGAATTAAAAACAAATTATCAAGTGCCAGAAAATTTAATAAAGAATATGAAAAGTTGCAACTACATTTGTCCAACACCGATACAAATGCAAGCAATGCCAGTTTTATTAGAAGTAAGTGATTTTTTTTTGATAAATTATAATCAAAGTTGTAAAAAGTTGATCCTTTTCTCATCATTGATAATTTACAGAATAGACAAATATTAGCTTGTGCTCCAACAGGATCGGGAAAGACTGCAGCATTTCTATTACCTGTAATTTACAGTTTATGTGGACCACAGAAAAAGGGTTTCCGTGCGGTTATTTTAAGTCCAACGAGGGAATTGGCCAAGCAGACATATAGAGAATGCCTGAGATTGAGTGATGGTTGTGATTTTAGGATTCATATAATCAACAAAGCTAATCAAGCTCTTACCAAATATGGACCATCAAGTTCGCAAAAATTTGGTAAACAAAAATAAATATGAACAAGTTTCATAGTAGAAGTAGCTTTTCACTAAGACTTGCTTGTATTTCAGATATTTTAATAACCACACCAAAACGACTGGTCTTTCTTCTGAATCAAGATCCTCCAGCTATTTCATTACATAAGTAAGTTTTTTGCAATTTATCATACATGATGATATAATTGATCTCGGATTCAAGAATTCTCTTTACAGTGTAGAATGGTTGATTGTGGATGAAGCTGATAAGCTTTTTGAGGATGGAATACGTGGATTTAGGGAGCAATTGGACGAAATCACAAGAGCTTGTACCAATAAAAATCTACGTCGCGGCATGTTTAGTGCGACAAACACACCCGCGGTTTCGAAATGGTGTCGCCGTAATATGAAAGGACTTGTAACGGTAACAGTTGGGCAAAGGTATGCACTGTTAAATTTTATGATGGAAACATTTGAACGTATATTAATAAATACATTTCTCTTCTCGATATATTTTATAGAAATGCAGCTACAGATTTAGTGGAACAGGAACTTCTATTTGTTGGTAGTGAGAGGGGCAAGTTGGTAGCATTTAGAAACATTATTCAAAAGGTATGCTCAAGTTTAATAAAATTCAATCATAAACAATGTTTTCACTTTAAAATGATTATTATATATTATTATCATCACAGGGTATATCACCACCCGTGTTGGTATTCGTGCAGAGCAAAGAACGAGCTCAAGAACTCTTCAAGGAACTTATTTACGATGGAATTAATGTGGATGTTATTCATGCCGATAGGACAATAACACAGGTGTGCTAAGAAAAATCTCAGATAATTATCTAATTGAAATTATATTACTTTAGGGCTCGGTTATCTCTCGGCCATATACAGCCATATTAGTTTATGACGCAATAAGCGAGAAATGATATGCAGTAAGTTTTTTACAGCATATAGCTTTATCTTTTAATTTTCCCTAAAAAGCGTAACCATTTTGCAATCCTGACGCCTGTAAAATGTGTAGCCAACTGAGATGTCTGTTTGATACGTCACGTAGAATTACAAAATAATTCTTGATATAACAGCTATCATGGTTGCCTAAAAGTATGGTTAAAAAATGATCCGTTATTTCAGATTCTACGTGACATATCGGACAGACAGTTTTTCGCACATTTTACAGGTTTCAGGAAACCATTATGTTTTTAAGAGGAAACTAAAAAATAAAGCTATATGCTGCAAAAAATTTATTCATGTCATTTCTTGCTTATGACATCACAAAACCAGTCTAGCTATCCAAGATAGTCGAGCTTTAATTAGTTCATAATCATATCTTTTTTTATTTTTCAGAGAGATAATATCGTGCGTTGCTTTAGAGAAGGCAAAATTTGGGTGTTGATTTGTACAGAGCTGATGGGCAGAGGTATAGATTTTAAAGGTGTAAATCTCGTCGTGAATTACGATTTTCCACCGTCTGCAATTTCTTATATCCACAGAATAGGTATGCACTAAATGTAAACGAGTGACTCTTCAAGCCAAAACTGTCCTATTCCTTCAAGTCCTTCCTTTCTGTTTGTTGTCCAAGATATTCTGTGATTTAAGTCATTATCAATTTGTCATCATAATAGTGATGAGATCCGTTTGAATGTCGCCGAAAGCATACATACACAATATGGTCTTCTCATCTGAAAATTTGTATTTAATTCAAAACAGGTCGTACTGGTCGGGCTGGTCATAAAGGAAAAGCGATAACATTTTTCACCCAACAAGATACGGTGAATTTACGAAGGTATATGTTTTACTTACATATCTCGGACATCGGACAGAAGTATCACAATCGATAAACTTGCTCCTCCTTTAAAGTACTACAACTTTTATCTTGAATATTATTTATAAAATTTTATTTTTTCATTGAAATCTCTATTTTAATTTATTTCCACGATTCACACGTTTATATTATATCCAAATAAAGTAGCGATGGAATATACATATATTTTTTCCAGTATCGCAGCTGTTATGCGTGCGTCTGGATGTCACGTGCCGGACTACATGCTGGCTATGAAGAAACATAGTAAGAAAGAACAACGTAAGCTCGAGCGCACAGCGCCCACACGCGAAAGAATATTAACCGTGCCCACGTACAAGCGACACAAACGAAAATCGCGCGCAGGGCAGAAATCAGAGGCGGAGGAGGAAGCATAAAGGTGTGAACGCGATATTCATATACTTTATCGGGCGATATAAAAATATAATAATTGATATCTACATCCTCGCTTTACCTCTTTCCTATGATTACTTTCCACCACACACACACACACACACACACACACACACACACAATAGATTATTTTTGGATAGTTTTTAAATAAAATCGTTGATGGAAATCCATGATTCTCATTACGACCTAAACGCACAATGTTACTTTTATTATCTGCTCTTTTTCTTTTATAGATAATGATTGTTGTACGTAACACGTCGGCGTATATTAATTTTTCGATAAAGCAGCAGCGCAAAGTCTACCGTGGATCATATGATACAGTCATACTCCTATTTGAATTTACGCCAAAGAATATAGTCTCTTACCTCAATATGTCGCCAAGTCGCATTAAAATTCCAAATCTTCGCTGGGTTCCCTCGCGTAAGTGTCGACTCCTCCAATGTGTTGATTAACTTTAGCCGTTCCAAGAAGATAAGTATCTCATTTCCGATCTCGCGGAGCTCGCGCATGTCTCGTCTTTCGTAGATTTGAAACCTCGCTCGCTTCGTGAAACGCCGAGTGTCGGTAGCAGTAATATTTCACCGATTACAAAGAGCTGCATTGTGGAAAATGCAAGCCGGTATTCATGAATACATGATGCTTCGTAATACTACAATTTCGCGTAATACTACAACTTATCGCGCACTTCATCGCCGTGTCGTGCTACGAAACTGTTTTCCCTTTGATACCATTCCCAAGAGAATTTACAATGAGCCCCGATTAGGCGTGAATATTCGACGAGATGTCTGTTTGTTTCGCAGTATCCCTTTGATGACCTGATAGAAAATGTCTTTCTACGACAATCGCTACTATTATATCAACAAAGTATTCCTGTCCATCATCGGCCAATGGCCGTATCAATCGCGACTGGAGGGTAACGCGATGCTCGGCATCACGTTGCTCTTCACTGGCAGTTTAACGTTCCTGGAGGTGTTTATGATACAGTGCGTAATAATGCGTCGGATTCGAAATTGACGGTTCGTTTCGAATTTTGTCCGCAGGGGTGGGGTCTGGTGTGCGGCATAACAAATCTGAGTATCATCATGGAGAACACATCGCCGTTGCTGGTGAACAGCCTCATCTTCGTAAAGCTGATCAATTATTTATTTAATAAGCACAAAGTCCGTAAATTATGTTCCGTCGTCAAAACGTTATCAAAGCCCGCCGAGCATTCCGTAAACCGAATGTGTTCTTCGAGCTGCAGATGAAAGAACTTCTGGAACACGTCGAGGAGACCTGGAAGATGATCCAAATGGGCCCACGTAACGAAATATTGCGGAACCACGCGGAACAAAGTAAAGTCTACACGATCAAATACGCGTGTAAGTTCTTTTTCGGCTCGCCTCCCGTGATTGGGAAATACTCGCATGCTTGAGAGAGAGTCGCGTGTGAGAAATCGGTGTTACTTCTCAGCTCGATTTCGTCGATTAATAATATCTCGAACGAATGAACGAGCGAACGCGCGACTCCATTCAAGCGATATCGTGACAAAAAGAAGCGGCTCGTTCCAGTGGTTTTTTATTCGGTATGGCTCTTTTACTCCACGACGCCGCTCGTCATCAGCTGGATGTACAAACTTCTGCCGACGAATGCGACCTACTCGGCCAAATTTCTCTATCGCTTGGAGCACGTCTGTGACGTGGACAAGTACTTCGATCTACTGATGTTACACAGCTTCGTCAGCGTGTTTTACATAGTGGCGGTGCCGATCGCGGTCGACACATTGTTCATACTTTGCATCCAGCATGTCTGCGCGTTGTTCGAGGTCATACAGTAAGTCACTCTCGCAACAAGAGAAAAGACCTGTGCGAGTGAGATCGCGTTTTTATAATTAAATAGATACGACATGGAGCGCATACAACACTCGGATTTCGTGATGCCTGAACCGGATGTTGCGGACGACGTAAATTATCATAAAATAATTGATTGTATTAAATTGCACCAGCGTGCACTCAAGTTAGTGCCATCATATAGTGCCAGATATATTCTTTAGCTGCACACACCTCCTTCATGCCGTTCTGTGCTCAAGGAAAATGTTTCTCTTTCCGATTTTTCCATACACTTGATTTACAAAGCATCTATCGACATTAATTGCTATAATACAACAATCGCTGGTTATTCAAATTTCCGACAGATTTGAATAATCGAGGGACAACTGTGCTTGATGTGACTTCTACATGAGGCATTCGTAGCCTTTAAGGCAATTTAATAAATAACTTCACCCTGAGATTTTACGTTAAATTAAGGCAGTCTAATCGTATTAGATCTGCTTATGTAGACTAATATAACTGTTTCATCATTTCACGCCAAGATTCTCCGAATTGCTCTCATTCGCTTACGCAACGTCCTACCTTTTTCTACTAGGAAATGTGATCATATGCCTGAGCTTTAGCGCAGCTGAGGTAAATATTCGATAAGTTTGAGCGCCGTGACACGTGCTCGCGCGTTTTCATTTCGTGTGTTTAATCGTGCTGCATACTGTATTCAAGTTTATAATGGTAGAGGTCCAATTTGATGAAATTGTCAGAATTGCCGCCGCTAGTTTGGCTCAATTGTTACACATATATTATCTGAGTTGGATGTGTCAACTGTTGCTCGATCAGAGTAGCGGCCTTCACGAAGTAATGTACGCATATCTTTTCGCTGTTATTAAGTCAAACCTTGCAACCTAACTAACAACGAAAATGCATCGACAGTTACAGTTGCAACTGGTATCTGTTTTCAATGAGATCCAGACAGTTGTTGAGATTCATGTTACTGCGTTCCACTAAACTGTGCCAAATAAAAGCTGGAAAAATGTACGTGATGTCGATGGAGAATTTCAGCTCAGTACGTAAATTAATATTACGTTACTTAGGTGATTATCTGATGAGATGCAGCAGCATCGTGATTTTTTTTCTTTTTTTTATAGATTCTACAAGTATCTATATCTTATTTCACTATGCTCACGTCACTGCAGTAATTTTGTACGACTCAATAAACGCATATGATATTTAACGAGGAAACGGATTAACATATGACAGATCTACTTTTTCACTTTGTTATCATTCGTAATTTCCACCTGTTTGATTCCTGAGTAGCAAGATATGCGACTTGTGTAAAAAAGAATCATTTTGCCTGGTTGATTAATAAATTAACCTTGCGTTGAAATGCGCGCGCAATAGCAGGAGAGAAGGTAGAATTTGCTGCCTGATTCGTTATTTTTTCTCATTTGAAATTTTGTGGACATTGCGCGATCGCTAATGTTTTCCTTTCCTAATCGCGTATTTATCGATAAGTCACTTCCTTTGGTCGCACATAAAGAGCAACGACTAACCGGTCTATGTGTGATTAATCTGTGGACAATCGTGGAAGGGACGATAGACGGAGTGGGACAGGAGGCGTGACTCGAGATAAAGTTATCAAATCACGGCGGACATTCGTCATAAAATACATACAAACGCTTTCGAGCAGCAGCTTCGCGAGAGCTGCCCGAGATTAATCTTACACGTTGTGAAAGTTGTCAGCAAACACAATGGAAACGTATGAGAGCGTCCTGCTAGTGAAATCTGAGGTTTTCGTCTTCAAAATTCCGCCAAGGTCAACCAACAGGGGTTATCGGTAAGAGCGAACGTTTTTGACGTGACGTTTCGCGGTTGTTCAATATGTTGTAAACGATGTGTCAAACGCGAAATGATTCCGTGGTGTCCTTCGTAGTTTGGACAAACGTAAGAGTATGTCTAGCTAAGTGAAATCAATCGACAAGCTTTTTCCATTTTTCCTGTGAATTGCTCGAATGTAGAGACTTCATCGACGATACATTTGCAGGGCAGCTGACTGGAACTTGCAGGAACCTTCGTGGACTGGTCGCATGCGATTGGTATCGCAAGGAGACAGCATAACGATAAAGCTCGAGGACAAAGTTACAGGCGAACTGTTTGCAAAATGTCCGATCGAGCAGTATCCTGGAATAGCTGTAGAAACTGTCACTGACTCCTCTCGATATTTTGTCCTGAGAGTTCAAGATGACGATGGACGGTCAGCTTTCATAGGTGTTGGTTTCTTAGATAGATCTGATAGTTTTGACTTGAACGTCGCTCTTCAAGATCACTTCAAATGGTTGAAGAATCGGGAACAAATTGAAAAGGAAAAAGAAAAACCAAAGCAGGAACTCGATCTCAGGTTCAAGGAAGGCGAAACCATCAAGATTAATATGAAGATCACTGTGAGTGCTACATTGTGCATTTGTTTCTTGTCTTTGTTGATGAAAAAAAAAGTATTAATTTTGCATCTTATATATGCCGTATGTGCAGAATATCATATCAATTTGTGATCATTTCTTAACAATAATATTCTCATCACTTTGTCCTATTAGTTCTTTCTGTACAGAACATAATTTTAAAATAATTTCCATACATGTTACTTAGAAAAAGGATGGCAGTGAGGTTTCATCCAGAGCAAGACAGCGTACCAATCCAGCCATGGGTTTGCCACCTCCACCTGGTGGTGTGAAAATCGCACCGCCACCAGCGAAAACTCCAACTTCCTCGCCAGCACACAAGCCACAAAATCAGAGTCAAGGTACTACGGGTTCAGAATGGGGCGAGTTTGCCAGTGCCTCTCAGGCAGCGTCGGCACCCACACCCCCAGTGGCTAATGCCAGTTGGGTGCAATTTTAATTTTCCAAACATATGTATATAACGTAATATATGTAATATATACATAGCAACATTCGAAATAGCCGTGCTATAAGAATTTAGGTTATAATACATACAGGGCAGTTTGCTCATAAGATACTGTTGGATTATTGTTACTGTCAAGTGGACTACCCTGTACCGTAATTCTATGTTAAATGTGTGCATACATGTATCTTAAACGCGCGCGCACAGCTCGGGACTTTAATGATGAATATCGGAAGGGTGTCTTTGTGAATATAGCAGAGAAAGGTTTGATGTATATTTCCAATACTATACAGTGCGTGACGAAAATTATAGTAGCAACGGCGAAAGGGGTGATATTTTTTCATGAAAGATAATGGCTCACGCATACTCGCGAGACTCTCAGAGAGTTTTCCAAACTTAATTTTTCTTTTTCTCCATGAAAAAGTATTCCTTCCCGATTGTTCTGTGATTCTCTAGCAACCTGTATAATAGTATTGTACTTATAAATACCATTTGAAAACTTTCTTAATATTGCTTTCTATGGACATCCAGTGTATTTGAATAGTATAACATGATTTCTTTTGTATATTTAAATGTCAACATCAAATGCATTTAATGCCTTGTACAGATTAGTTCAACGAATTGGAAGCAAATTCAACGAATCAAACATGCCATTTTTCATTAGACAATCATCCGCTGTTAATGCAATATTATGCATAAAGGGATCCTTAAATACTTCCACATTAATATGGTTTGCAAAAGTTAAATGATTATATATAAAGCAGAGAATAATCTTTGAATTAAAACCAAAGTTTAAGTAAATTATTTACTTCAAAGAGTGAACAATCGAACGACATTCAATGATTTTCTGATTATTAATCCACTGATTATTTGCAAATAATTTCTTATAAATTATGCTTAAAAGCATAATATAGAGTATATTTTCAGTGTATATTAAATTGATATTTAGCCTTGGTAGCTCTAACAATTTCAATATTTGTAAATATACACAGCCTACCATAAAAAAAGACGGCCTATTTCCCCTCCCATACATTGGGTGTCCATAAAGTTCTTCATTCAGTCTTAATATAATCGAATTCCCTCTCCGTATAAACTGGGTTTTCATATAAATTTTCACACTCATTAAGAGAAAAAAAATTAAGTTACTACTATTTTAAATATTACATCTTTCAACTCCTTCTTTTTTCAAAGGTATTTTTTTGTTTGCCGTC